TTATCATTCTAATTCAGGGAGCTTTGAAGACTTGACTGTCCTTCCTTTAGTTTTTTTTTTTTAATATCTGTAGTTTATGTATATTTTTAAGGCTTACAAAGTAAGAGTGATAGTAGTTCTAGTAACAATAAAAAGTAATAGCAATGATGATAGTAACTGATAGAAGAACAATAGTAATGTAGTGAAGTGATGATTCATTACAGTCACTTTAAGAATAATATGCGCAACAGTAAGAAAGTTGGATAGAAACTCATTAATATTGATGGTAGAATAATAGTTAAAGTATAATAGTACTAATAGTACAGTATTAGCAATACAATTACAGGATTGCTGTATTACAGTAACATTATTAATACTGGTGGAAGAAGCTGTATTTATAGTAGTAACAGGCACCATATGTATCATGCTAATCCAAACTCCAGATTGGAGATTAGATGAGGTTAATCCACCAAAACTAACACACATCCAAACCACATGCGCTTCTAGTGTAAAACCAGTGAGAAGTGTTTTACGTTAAAGAGCCACGGCCAAATCAGTGAACGTCTTTCCTCACAGTGGCAGCCTCCAGCTTTAGTTGACCAACGACCTGAAGGCCCGATATCGAAAACAGCCGGCATGCTCTGTCTTTAACCGCATGCTGGTAAAGTTCTTGATGGGCGCTCATAAATAGCAGGTGCTGTGGTTGACCATTTTCTTCACATCGTGGACACTCGCACTTCACGCAGCCAGGTGTGAACTTCTCTCTGGTTCCCTCCGCATACAATCGCTCCTCCCTCGGTTCCCGACAGCTTCAGCAGCTCAACGGGGACGGTGGTCGAGCCGAGACGCCAAACGCGAGCTACGGTTTTGGTGAGAACGATGTGACAAGCGCTGCTCTGCAGTCAGATGAACGCCTTATTTGAAACAAGCCAACGCCATAACGCAGCGTTATGAGGTGGAGTGACATCACTAAGACTGGCTTCTGATTGGAGGAGGAACAACTATACCCACTCTCCTCTGAGACAGGTGTGGACCCCATTAACCGCCCCGAAAATATTGAATTTGTTCTATCTGTCTGTCTGTCTGTCTGTCTGTCTGTCTGTCTGTCCCCCCATCTACCAATCCATCCTTCTATATAACCATACATCTCCTTCTGCTGTTGTGATTATCTCAATTATTTGGTCCAATGTAAAAGCACATCAGAGTGAAAAGCATGTATTTATCCTCTTTTGGACGGATGCATTACCAGGTCTTGCTGTTTTATTTGCTGTGTTTAACCAGGTTTTACAGATCATAGCTCTGATATATAAAGATGCCTGGGCTATTGTGACTGTGAGAGTCTTCAGCCACCATCAGCAGCTTGATTGACGCTTCTATTCACCTATAAGTGCCGCCTTCAGGGCGCTTTTATTTTACAAATGGACGTTTTTGCTTTTTTACTGGTTCCTTTTGACTCGCTCCTTTCACTGCCAATTGGAGGTAGAAATACAGAAATAAATGTGGAAATAATAGCAGCATATGGCCTCTCTCCCACTTCCCTGGAATCACAGTGTGACTGTATTACAGACCAGGAACGTGTTTCCATGTCAAAAGGCAGCAAGGAGAAGGGCTCCTGTCCCGTTGTCATGCATGCAGGAGAACGACAAAGCTCATCCACCTTTGCACTGTAAACAATTGCTGTTATTTTACAGTCAATTTTCAACATGAATCTACTGTTTTTATGTAATAAGATTTTGTACTGCAGTTAGCAGAACCCTTTGAAGCAACACCACAGACCCTGAACAGCATCCCAGTGTCGTAGTATACAGAATGATTTTTTTAAATGTCACTTACTAATGACACTGACATTTGAATGTTTCAAAGATGTATATATTTTATATTTTTTAGAGTAACTCTGTTTCATCAAATACTAACGGCTATCACCCGGGGAGTTCCAGTCAGTAGCGGTTGTTGCTAGCTAGCTAGCTAGATAGCTAATAGCCTTTTGCCCCTTAAGAACCTTTAAAGCAGAGAGTATGGAGAACTCTTTAGTGTTGCACGTGTTTAATATATAACAATGTCCACGTGGAAATTGTTGTAGGTGGTACAGATATTTAGTCAGTATTTAAAGTGAGCTTCTTTTTGACACGTTTTAGCTTAAATACCACGACACCAAGGTGTTTCTAATATTTGTTATCCAGTCTCTGATATTAGACTATTTGGATTTCAGGTGCTTCCTATTGCTCCATTCAGAGGAACCAAGACCAGCCAGGACGAGGTTGTCCCCAAGAAGACAGGTGTGATTGTCCAGAAGATGTCTACCATTACCAGCACACGTGTGTACTGAACATCTTTGAGTTTGAATGGGACTTGATAAAAGGTCAGTAAACTCTCACTTTAGACTGACGTTGCATGTCAAACATTATACGTTTATAACCTTTATAAGTATTAACAATACAATGCAATGTGTATTAATATCTCTATAGTTTGAATAATTATTTAGCTTGTTGGTGTCTTACATCAACAGCTGTGGAAGACGAGCAGCAGGGTGATGGTCATCTCTACCTCACCCAGAAAATTCCTTTTTTCAATTAGAATAAACTACAATGTTTCGGACTTCCTCGTGCATCTACTTCACGACTCCTTTAAGATGTAAAACTCAAGACTTCTGGACTTTTTTCAGAGAAAAAACACCATCTTGTCTATAAACAGTAAGTTAATAACAAATGTGGCTGATCAAATCTTCTCACTGTAGATATTCACAGACAGAAGAGAATCCATTTAAACATGTTTCTTCAGTATTTGTTGCCCAATTGTTGATTGAAGGTCAAGTTGGATTTGGTCAAATTGATGCTGATGGTGTTTGATTTATATCGTTTCTAAGTTGTTGATTACATCATTTCTATAATATAGCAGATGTCTGTAGCCCACGGAACAATAAAGTTATATTAGTGATTGCAGTGCAGATTCATATTTTGAGATATTCTAAAAAGCTATATTCGGTTGGGTTAAAACAGCAAACCCTGAAAATTTAAAGTAATCTAACCCTCTACCAGAAAGTTACTGTCAATTTAGATAATCACAGAAATACTATTTTCTGTGTAGTAAAATGATTCAACAGTATGACTACTTTAGAATTGCAGTATATAAATCACTATGTCAAGCATGGTGATTTATTTCTCCCGCTACCAGTATTTTAAATGTATATTGAAAACTACAGAAAACTACTGTATTCTAGTTGTAGAGTAGCGTGCTGTAAACACATGCCCCAGAATACTGTAGAAGTGTTATTATTATTTAACAGGAAAGTAATTCACGTTGGCTTCATGCCTTAAACTCACAAAACGCTCCCAGGTGATAATGGACAACAGCTGATCCCCTCAGAGGTCTGAAGGGGCAAACGGGACCCGATGGAGGGGTTCAGGTCCGTAAGGGGATCAGTCCACCAGGAGCCACTTCTCCACCACTCGGGATCCAAAATCCTGGGCCGAGTGGAACCAAGGAGTTTCCCATTTCCTCCGATCCCACTGCGCGGGGAAGGGATTGGTGACATATGAATAGAATTAGTAAAGACATGGGGCAGCGCGGGAAACGTTATGCCCAAAACACAAAGGCTCTTATATATTTTAATTTAACGGCATCGGATTGTTTTCTGCCGTAATAGGAATCAGGCATTGGTGACTACAAATCTGAAGAGAGATAATTCAGTCAATAAAAATAAAAACGGTCAAAGACAAAGTTGTGTGCAAATTGGCTTCAGCCGCGCGCGTGGGCTGACGTTCGTGTTGAACCACATTTAGAATGTAAAAAAAACCCCGAATATTATTCATATTTGCCTGTCTGAGGAAATCAGTGTCTCGACGCATTAGTGCAGCACGATGACGCATCCAGCGGACCTCTAATCAGCTGCCGCATCTCACCGGCACATTTTCAAATCACAAACGGACCCGTCGGCCCGACGCGAGCGCGCGTTAGGAGCACATTGCGCGTTAAATGCAATCAGCGAGTCCCATTAAGGGTCTGAACCGGGAATCCACGTTCCTCCGCAGCAGCAGCAGCATCCCCCCAAACACACACAGACAAACAGCACACATGTTGATTAGCGGCGTAAATACGCAATAAGTACTCTGTTTCCTACGATGAATGGAAGCGATAATGGGCCGTTATCTTACCCTGGTCGGGGGGGTTGTCTACCCGCAGAGAGGGAGGTCCGGCCCCGGGCTGATCTGCTCCCCGCGGAGAAGCGAGCGCGGGCCGATAATGAGACGAGTCCCCGATATGATGCTCAGCGGCTCCGGTCTTATTATTCCGGTATTATTCATTTACTCCTCCAAAAAGCCCCCAGCGCGCATCTCGGTTGTTTTATTAATTTAGGAATCGTGTCGGACATGGAACTTCTTCTCCGTGTATTAAATGAATAATACATAATAGCTTCATGAAATGAAAAAAATAAGATATGACTCCACAATATAAATCATTTGTATGAGATAAGATATTCCTTTATTAGTCCCACAATGGGGAAAGTCACAAATTCATGGAATAGAATACAGCGAACAAACAATGTATTGAGTTTTCGTGTAGGCGGAATTAGATCATTTGAAATTGGCTAAATATAAATAATTTCCCTTTGAAATAACGTGACGCGCGCTAAGTCACCCGCGCCGTGCTTTGCCAAAAAATACCACGAGTGTTTCTCCTCTGCATTTATTAATAACCATTAAAAACCTTTTACTGGAAAGCTATTGTTAATTTGAAACTGATTCATAAATCCGTGTTTGAGGTTTTGACTGACTTTGTGAATGTAAACACTGTTATAAATGGAAATGGGCTCCACAGATTGTGATGCCTTCGCTGACAAGGAAATAATCGGATTACTCGCTGACCCGGCAACGGACTTCTACCAAAAGTCTGCAAACAGTGCGGATTATCTTAATTGAATTAATTCTCAATACACAGATGTGCGGCCGATCGCACCGCAAGCTGCCCCAGCTGACCGCAGAGCGGCCGTGACGTCAGCGGCGTATAAAAGCAGCCTCGCGCTCAACAGGTTTCCTTCAAACCAGAAGTCCGCGTTCTCGAGACGAAGCTCGCGCGCAGGCACGGAAGAAAAGTGCGCTCCGCCGCCATGGCGCAGTTTTAGGAGAACTTTCCTCACGGAGATCTGTCGGGTCCGGGACGTTTTCTTCTTCCACCGAGAGCCTTTCACACAGCCCCCCAACTTCCCCCGCTCCGTAGCCCGCCGCGCACCGGTGTGATGCCCGCCGGGATGTTCAGCATAGACAGCATCCTGTCCGGCAGACCCAGCTGCAAGGAGCCGCTGCTGCTGCACCGGAGCGGTCCGGTGGTGCTGTCCGCGGGCCTCACGGACTCTATCTACACCGACTACAATGGACTGTACTCGGCCACGTGTGGGCCGTCTCCCCCGGGCGTCCAGTCCCTGAATGGGACCCGGATAGGATATAACGGCTACTACTACGGACAGCTGCACGTGCAGGGCGCCGGAGGGGCGCCGCCGTGCTGCGGCTCCGTGCCCGGCCTCGCCCCGCAGCAGTGCCCGTGCATCCCGGCAGGTAGGACAACCAACGTCCCGCTCTCCTCCTAGTTTTACCTGCGTGCATTTAGGAGATCCAAAATACAACGGAATGGTTTGCGTTATGTTTTTAAATGGTGTTATTCGCGGTTTGACGAGGCAATAGTTCTGAAGTTTAGTCGTTGCTCCAAGTCGGAGTTTTTGACCCCAAATTAGAGACAATTTATATATATATATATATATATAATATAATAATTATTTATTTATTATAATAATAAGTAATATAATATTAAAATGTGTCTTTATGAAATAGTTCCTTGCAATATATATATATATATACGGATTTGCAACGTTATTTTGAACTCGAATCTGCACATTTAAAGCAAAAGACGCCACCACTTATTCCAGTGACGTCCGATGCCTGATGATATTATCTCGTCCGTTTGATGAGCCCACTTGTGTTTGTGTCACGGATCAATGTCATTGAGCCGTTTCCAAACTGGTGCTTTTACGCACCAACTGATCCAACTCGTGTAGAAAAGTGTTTCAAACGGTTTGACACACACGCAGTTTGATGTTTTACTGCATGCGCAACAAGTCACGTGCAGGAAAGTGTCAGATCTCTGCTGTTTTACGCTCCAGCTGTGCGCGTCGTGCACAGCCGAGGCCGGAGCGTTTCTCCACGAACGTGCACACTGCGGCCGCTCGATCACCAGGCGTTTTGTGTGACGCTTCTCTCCTCTCCTCACCGGCCAGGCTACGACAGCCCGGGCTCCGTGCTGATCTCTCCGGTCCCGCACCAGATGATGTCCTACATGAACATGGGCAGCCTGTCGCGGACCGAGCTGCAGCTCCTCAACCAGCTGCACTGCCGCAGGAAGCGGCGGCACCGCACCATCTTCACCGACGAGCAGCTGGAGGCCCTGGAAGGCCTCTTCCAGGAGACAAAGTACCCGGACGTCGGCACTCGGGAGCAGCTGGCCCGCAAGGTCCACCTCCGGGAGGAGAAGGTCGAGGTCAGGGGCGCTTTGGCTTTACACACAGCTTCATGTACGGCTTCTTAAGTCACGTGGTCTGGGAGCTTTGACACCGTTCACGTTTATTTTATCACAATAACACAAACATTATTAAAACCATTATTTTGTGTGCTTTATTGTGGTCCGTAAACGAGACATTTGATTTGTTATCACCTCTCATTCCTCACGTTAGAGTTTAGTTTAATATAACACGAGCACGGTTAATACAACGGGACACACCGTATTATTATTCATTATTATGAATATTTGTATCCTTAATGGAATTATCGTGCGCCTTAGTCCGTAGCGGGTACGTTTTATCTATTAATCAGGGGTTTCCGTGGTCCGTTCCACTCTATTTGTATCTAAAAAATCTAAACGAAAAGGATCTGACGTTATTCTGCATTAGTTATGTTTCCTTTTTGCATTTTCAGTACATCTTTGAATTAATTCATCTTCGGTTCAATATTTTATTTGGTGTAAATTATATAAATATATATTGTCTATTGGTAAAATATAAGCAAGTGAAAAATAATCATTCTTAATGATTATTATTAATTCCATATTTATATAATTATTAATGTTAATCGAAGTAACTCAACTCTGCAAAATGTAACGCGCTCCGCTTGACCTTGTTTTAAAGCAAACATACATTAAAACAAACAGCCAATCTTGTTGCTCATGACATCATGATATGAATAATATTTGTATATTATATGGTGTAAATAAATCAATATATAAATATATTCTTAGTTAGGACAATAACGCACCAACTCATATGCGTAATAATGCGGCTTTGCGTTAAACGTTGAATGAAACGTTATATAGTGTAATAACACAGTAACCCAACACAAGGCAAAGGAAAAGAAGAAGCTCACATTTCAAACTGTGCTTTTTTTTTATCACGTAGGTTTGGTTCAAAAACAGACGCGCGAAGTGGAGGAGGCAGAAACGGTCCTCATCCGAGGAATCAGAGAACTCTCAGAAATGGAACAAATCCACCAAAAGCTCCGCGGAGAAAAGCGAGGAGGCCAAGAGCGAGGTGGACTCGGACAGCTGATTACACGGCGGACGCGTGTGCGCGCGCGTGTCGGGGTGTCATGAGACGTGTTGCCATGTTGCACAGTTGTACATAAACTACAGCTATTTATATTTAATTTAAACTGTTGTGGCGTTCCGCATCGTGTCACGTTACACGCGGAGTGTGTGTGGATGTTAAATGTTGTAACTCTGTCGTAGAATCATCCGGCCGCAGGGAACCACGTGGTCTGCGCGCGCGTAGATATTTGTGTTGTTTTTTTTTCACTTTGGAAAGATAAGCAAACGTACGTTAAAGGCCTACGAATATTCATTAAAATATAAATGAAACTTCAGCACTTTGTTTGTTTGCTTTTATTGGAGGAGGACAGACGTAGATACGTTAATATTGTTTTTCAATTATTTATTACCGAATAATTAATTAATTAAACGTAAAATATAAATTCTTACAATTCTATTAATTGACGTTACAGAAAATAGTTGTGGGAAAGATTTCCAGAGACATTCCTCACACAGCAAACCTCTGATGAACACACAGTATGTAAACATACATTTATACAACAAATCATCCTTCTGCCACCTATAAATACGCAACGAGGATGCGCGGGTGACGTGCACGCGCGCACCTCGCTCTCACCTGGTCAGGCCGCAGCGCGCGCCGATGCCTCACGTCGGTGCATCGTGTCGCGAGACACGAGCACGCGCGTGAGCGAGCGAGGGAGAGGAGGAGGAGGAGGAGGAGGAAGGAACTCCGCGCATCGAAGGGCTGAATATTAAAGAAACAACGCGATGCTCATTCTGCGTTTTGTTTGTTCATCAAAACAGATTCAAAATAAACAAACACTTCTTTGTAAAGAAATCCCTGTTCGTACGAGATGAATCAATGTTACTGAAGGAGGTGGACAAAAAAATAGAAACACGCGAGATTTAGACAACCTGGAACACCTGTCATTGAATTTACTGATACTGTTAGCTACATTATGATATCCATTCATGCTTTATTAAATCATCATAATGTGCTATAGTTTAGTTGCATTCCTAAACATATAACACCGTAATAATATTCAATGCACATTACACATTTTTTGCTGCACTCATATTTTATTATAATGTAATAAAGTGAACGTATCAGCTTGTGTAGCTTTTAAAGTGGAGAGTAAAATAAAATCCTCTTTTCAACCAGGTTGCTAAGAATATGTTTCAAAGTTCGACTCACAACATATCAGGTGTTTGGCTGTTTAAAAAAAGCTATCCATTAACTTTGATGTAAATTCTGAAAGTCAAAGTAGATCAAAGGGAAATCAAACGCTTTCCGATTGTTGTTCCCTTTATATACGTTTCAAAATTTCTACAAAAAAAAAATCAGACAAAAACGCTATTTAACAGTCGGCTCTTTTAGAGGCTGACGCCCTTATTTAAAACCAAAAAGGTGAAAAATGAGAAAAGTGTCTTTTCTTAATAACTGAAAAAAGAGTCCAGTTGTCCAGAGAAATCAAACCCATTTTTTTGTATTCGTCGGGTCAGAATAGTGCTGAAGGGGCTTGTGTTTGGGGGACTTTGACTCATTCATATTCCCTCTATGGCCACGATTATTTCCATCAGACTAATCGGTCAGTCTGCAAAATGTCCACAGTGAGAAAGACCAATATGTGCTCACACAAGTGACGATGAATTAGCTGCTTATTTAGCAGCAGATCCTTTTAGAGCTTTTATCCTGCACAAAAAAAGGTGAATTTGAAAAGTTTTTGGGGCTTGTCACCTGTTATCAGTCAATTGGCCTTCATGCAGCCTTTGATAGAAGCAGGAATGAACATTGACTATGAGTATATGTGTGTTTCATTCCTGCATTATATTCCTGTGAAGCTCCTCCACAGACACTTTGAAGAACAACAAGCTTTACACTTGTTGCAGTGAAGGTACCGAAGGGCCGTACGGATGCAGAGGTTATGAAGCACGCCCACACACAGTATATGATCACATGATCAAATAGACTGGAGATCAAACCCATCAAACACTACATGTATGACTGTATTCATTTAATTGAAAATATTTGTCAGAAGCTTCTGTAGAATAATCGCACAGTGAAAAGGAAAGTATAACGACTGATTGTTTTGCCTTTTCCAAGAAGTGAACTTCTGAGGAGCGTATAGTCTCTTTCCCACGGAGTATAATGTGGGTTTTAATCCCAATCCCAATGTCCCCTGCACTATATGCATGCTCCTGGAAGGGTTAGTGAACTGAGAGTATATCGATATTCCTATTATATGATCCCACGTCCCAACTAATAAAATAATATTTCAATATTTCCTCTCGTGCGTGAGTTTTTTTCACCGGGAAAAAAAAGCAATTAAAGAATCATGTGAAATTGCAATAAAGGCCCAACTTTATGTATTTATTTTGTGGGGAGTCTTGATTTTCTACAGTGATAGCTGGTCTCAAATCAGCAGGCGTGCTACAACAAATCATGGCGGTAAATACCAATTTCTACACTGAGGTTGAGTTTCAGCTGATGCAGAGAACCAATAACCCTTATTACCGGCCATGGGACATCATCACCAAAAGCAAGACTAAACATTTCAGATGAGTTTTCAAAACCAGAGGGTCATCTGATTATCTAAATAAAGAGTAAGATGTGTCATAACAGAGAAAGAAAGGTATGTAATCAGCCGTGTGTAACTCCGGGTTCCCCAGCCTTCAATGGTTGGGACAAACAGAGATGCATCACTGATTTGCTTTTACCACGACGGACGAAATGAAGGGTCATCCTGACCCTGAAGCTGCGTGGACAGCTTCAACCCAATCGGTTGAAAACAGTATGTTGGCTTTGTTTTGTTCTGCAATAATCTCTTTCTTTCTTTATCCCATTTACCAGGTAGGAAAAGGAAAAACGACTGAGATGCTGAAGTGGACTTTTTGTAGACTGTATTGCACACGTTGCAGTTGTTAACCACACAGTGATAGAAGTATTTTTTTATTTTGTGTATATTTTTGTTTGAAGGCTACCGAGGATTCATCGGAGTAGGTCGCAAAAGACATTTTATGCATTGTATTAATATTATGCAGACTCAAAGAGTGAATTGATCTCTGAAATTCATTTTGAAAGAAAAAAAAGCTTCCACATCATGTAATAGTCTTCCGTGTAATTAGCAAATACAGCATTGTGATAGCTTAGTTTTCACCCCATTAGGTAAGCATGGCACTATCCCCTTCACAGTGTTGCTGACTAGATAACTGATGGCCTCATTAATGGATAATACATGCTTTATAAATGCGTTATAAGACAAAATAGAAATCTCCTCTACTCTTGCTCACTGGCTCTGAATACACATAGAGACAAACCCTGGGTCACAATAGGGGGGGAGGGGGGGGGGGGCTGTTGATGTGTATTGGCTTGGGGGGGACGTCACTACGTGACTCAACCAATAGAAGCATTTGGGGGCGGGGGCTCAGCAGCTCTCAAGTAAACGGAAAGACGGGAACAGAACTTTTCATTTTAGGTCTTTTTCAGATGGTGAGTTCACAGAACCAACGTGGTTTGTAACTCGCATCATTGAACTAGAACCCTAATTCTCCAAAGGAAATCCAGTAGAAACATGGGCTCCGTAGACGGAAACGTCCCTACAAGGTCAATCCCACCTGTTTATGGGGGTATGGAGATGGTGGCCACAGTCTCAGCCAATCCCTAGTAGATGGTGTATGGAGAATCTGGTTGGGTTGTCTGCCAATCCCTGAGCCCGTTTTTTGATGACATATGGACAAAATGGCGGAATAACGCAGAGTCTCTCTGGGAATGTGTCGGGCAGCTGAACTGGACAACGCCGGTTCCATCACAGTGAGGCTCGATTCAATTGACTCTTTTTGTTTGTACTGGGTTTTGTTTTAGGTTCTGTTGTAGAATAAAAATGGAGTTGATTTTAATTGAACCATCTACTTGGATTTATTTTGGAGGAGGCCTACCTCATTAGGAAGACCGGACATAAAACCCTTACAATAGCTTTTATCTTTCATTAAATTAAGTTTAAGTTTGAATTTACAATAAATATTGAAACTGCTACTGTGTATATTTGATGCACATTACACCTAAAGCAATATTTCATAAGAATGTATTTAATATCATACCAACATATTTTAAAGTATTGGTCATTTCAGTGTTATTGTCAAAAATAAATAATATAGCATATAATTCTATAGATCCTAAAAAAAGGTGATTTGGCACTGAAATGTAAAATAATGAAGCTTGAAAGTGTCCCCTGACAGTTTGGACCGGTGTCATCGGAGCCTCCAGCCTTACTGGGATCTGCTTGATGCAAATGAGAGCGGACTGTTGTAGACCACTAACCAGAGGTGGACTCAGCCAACCCGAGGGCCACAGCCTTCCACTGCAAAGCGCCGCCCGCTCAACGCATGTCATCAGAAGACTGGAGGGGACATTTTTTATTGGGAATTTTTTATTCTCGAAGGAGTATGAATTATGTATTTGGTATTGCTTTATTCAACAGGGTTTTGATAAGACTTTCCTTATAGGTTACAGAAACAATTGAACTTGTGAAGTTGTAAGTAAGCTCTTATGCAGCCACAGGAAGACAATCTGTCAGACGCTCTAAAGTTTTCCTGCAGCAGAAATACCAGAATTTTCTCCTTTTACTAAATTCTCTTATGCTCATTTATATTTTATTTAATTGAATATTTATAGTATCTATTGTTCAGTAAATTTTCCTTTCAGTTTGTACTGTTATAAATTATATTTTGGGATTATTTATGTACATTTCACTCAGAGATGTAGTGAAGAAGTTTAAAATCACAGAACAATGGACATTCCTAATTATACTTAAAATATTTAGCATTTTATTTTCTTACTTTGCAATGAAACAACATTCAAAAGCTATCACATTAAAGCTTTCAGCTATGTTGAGTTTAAAACCCTGTAGTGTCACACTAGTTGATGGAAACACAAAGTCATCCACATGAAATTAACATCAATTTACAGCTGTTTTAAAAAATCCGTTTTGGTTGACGGGATTGTGTTTGCTCCCGACATTATGGGGTGACTGCTGATCCCGAAAACGGCCCTGAAGTGAAAAGCAGCTCGAGATCAATCAATCAAAGCACGGCTTGGTGTTAATGAACGTTAACCAGCGCGTGAGGGGCTCGGGTCAGGAGGAGAGCAAGGTAACTGCAGCATTCTGACGTGACTTTGGAGAAACAGATTAGAGGCCAGATCGGACTCTCGGAGATTTGGCCCCGACACGAAACCATGAAAACACACCATCCCTATTAATCCCTCGTATGCACCGCAGTGATTTATTAAGTGCTTTGCTGCACAGCACCAGTGAGA